CAGTATCTTGGCTGTGCCTAGAACTGCACATTTCTAGGGACAGCCAAGGTACTGCAAAGAACCCTCAAGCTCCCAGGCCTCTGGGAGCTTATATATATGGACCCACATTGAAAAAAAGTTGGAATTAACTAAGCAAATAGGTACAAGCCTCCTATTGGGTGATATACTGCAGGGCGATTATGTTTCAGCTGGCAACAAGTTATTTAACCCCAACTGGTGCAATGTGGTTTTTCTAATTTCTTAAACAACCATATCAAAAAACACATCCAGTGGCTTTGGAAAAGATGTCAATTTGTTTGAGAAGGGTCAAATCATTGGCATGCATCAAGCAGGGCAAACATTTAAGGAGATGGCAGAAACTACTAAATTTGGGTTAAGAATTGTTCAGCGCATTATTAAAAACTGGAAGTATAGAAGAAATATGGCCAGAAAAAATTCTGATCGTGATCAAAAATCCTGAATGACAGTGATCATTCACTTAAACGTTTGGTGAAATCAAATCGGAAAAAAAAAAAAAAACCAACAGCAGGACTCCAAGCTATATCTAATAGTTCAACTGAGGACAAATGTGAAGAGAACTCAAGCAATTGGGAACTTGAACAGCTGTGCAACTTCAAGAAAATCACCTCACAAATCAGTGAGGCTAATCAGGAAAAAAAAAAGCTTCAATTTGATAGGGAGCATAAAGATTACACTCTGGAGCAATATACAAAAGGTCATGTGGTCTGATGAGTCCAGATTTACCCAATGTTCCAGAGTGAAGGGCACATCAGGGTAAGAAGCGAAATCTAGTGCGTAATGTACAAGCCTGTAGAGGCAAATAAAGATCAGCGACAGAATGTGCTCAAAGAATGAGGTCAGCTAGCTACCAGAATATACTGAATGATCAGGTTTTTCGTTTCTAATTTCTTTTTTCTTCCCTGATGAAACCGCCATATTCCAAGATGACAATGCCAGAATTTATCTGGCTGGAATTGTGAAAGAGTGGTTCAAGGAGTATGAGGCATCATTTTCACGGATTGGCCACCACAGAGTCCAGACCTCAAGCCCATTAATAATTTTTGAGATGTCCTGGAGAAGGCTTTATCATCATCAATACAAGATCTTACTGAAAAGTTAATGCACCACTGGATGGAAATATGTCTTGTGACATTGCCAAAGCTTATTGAAACAATACCAGCACAGCAAATGTATGCCGTAATTAAAATTAAAGGCGGTCCAAGGAAATATTACTGTTAGCAATTTATTTGGTGGTGACTTTTTTCTCTAGTTACTGTACATATATTACAAACACATATAATTGTGTAATCCTTCAGAGGATCCCAAAATTTACAGTTTTAGACAGCAGAACCTCAATGTTTTATTAACAAGCAGATCCCTGCAGGATATGTTGGCGCCATGCAGCAGTGACAGCTTTCTGACAAACTAACAACCACTGAATGGCTTGAAATGATGCTAAAACATACCAGAAAAATAATGACAGGATGATTAACATTGCTTTGTTTCATTTACCCGCTGTCTCAGAGGTTAACTGGATAATTTGCTGATGGAACCACCTTCATATGAGGAAGCCAACAGTCATCGTTCAATTCAGTCTCCAGGACAACATAACCACTCCTCTTCTCCAGTCTATACCTCCGCCCAGTCCCCATCTACACCTCCTCCAACGTATGGAGAGGCCGGTAAGATGTCTACCTCCCCATTCTTTAAACATTATCTACATTCCAGAGCTGGAATATTCAATCAATCAATCAATCAATCAATCAGAACAACATCAAAACGACTAAAATAAAATAATCATCCACTGCCTACAAACTAAGGCACCAGTGATTCCACAAACTAGAGAAGAACCTCACTGAGCTTTGAACAGAGTTAGTCAGGGTATGAATGATGCTGTTTACAGAGTCTGTTAACCTACACATACATCTCTATGTGATGTTTCGAAGCACAGCAGAACAAGTCGGTACATTGGTATCTGACTGCTACTACTCCATCTCGGTACTCTTAGCAGCATCCTTGTGCCATCATTGTAAGCGACCTGAAACTTATGCATACTGCTTTTCCTGTAACGCCACCACAGGTGGGCAGTATACATTGTAGTACAATATGTTTTAAAGAGTGCAGTTTTGACAGAAGATGAGTACATGGAGAACTTCCGAAGGAGCATATTAGCTGTATATATTGCATACAACTCTGCCTGTAAATGTCTCCATCATCAGACAGGTCAGTGGTGATTAAATGCTCCAAATATTTGACTCCATCACTAACTTTGAGGATGCTGATAGAGTGAAGTCAGGGAAAGATAATTTGTCTTCTTTGCTCTCAACAATCGTGATGCTGCTCTTTTTTGCATTATATTTAATATCATACACTAAGGCTCTGTTTACACGACAATGATTTTTGGTGAAAATGGAAGAGTTTTGTTGTGTTTGTAGTGTACATTTACATGAAACCACCAAATGTTTTCTCTGACAACGGCACAGTTTGAAAACGGGTTACAGAGTGTAATGGTTCTAAAACAGTGGTTCTTAACCTTTTTTGAGGTACCAAACCCACCAGTTTCATATGCGCATTCACTGAACCCTTCTGTAGTGATAAATAAAATATGATTTTTTTTCCCTCCAAATTCAAGACATAAGTCATCAGTTACCCGAAGTAAGAGTTCGAAGGTCCAGAAGGTGGACGGGCCGAGCAAACCGCCCAATATTTGAACCCCCTCCCCTCTATCTACGCCCCCCACCCTCCCGCTTACGCAAAAGCGATGCGAAAGGGCCCGAATTTTCACGGGTTAGTGAGTGGAGGATGCTTGGATTGCACTTTAGTATATTATCAGTACTGTACGGATTATCCATGGTCATAGCTGCGACTAGCGAAGAAGATTGGACTTCTACCGCCTCTGACTCAGCAGGCATCAGATCAGAAACACTCCAGGTTCTGGTGGGACCGTAGGACCGCTGTTAGCAAGACTAACGTTTTGAGAAGCGGAGGAGGATTCTGTTTTAAAAAACCCTGCTTGGATATTTTCTTCATCACTCATGTGTTACACTCTTCTTTTCCTTTTTTCCTGCGCTCTGCTGTCATTCTTTCTGTTGTCCACCAACATGAGAAATTACTCCCTGATGCTTATCGCTTATTAAGGGCAACTAGACGGACATCTTCTTCTGCTCTGAGACAAACACTGCATGTCTTGGAGTGCCGCGTGCGAATTAAAGGGGGAGGCGATGCATGACAACGTAACAGAAACACGTAATTATTAAGTCGCGTTATTGCTTGGATTTGAATCGGTATGTTTTGCATCCAGTGAAAACAAGGATGTTGACAAATAAACTGGACAATATGCTGGCAATTTTGTGACATTTCCACTGTTGTGGTCTTGAAATAAAATTCCGAGTCCTCAATGTCCGACACGACCGAGACCAAACGCGGTACAGAAAACGCACACCACATAAAACCCCCACCCCCAGCAGTGAAGTTAGTTTCAAGTTGGATATTCGATATTCGAGCTCCGGGGAGTAAGCGGCGTTTAGCTCAAGGTTGATCCGATTTATGAACGCTACTATTTTCCATTTTTTTAGGAATTTTTTTGGTCAAAATTGAGTGATTTTTTTCAATAGCTTCCAGGTCATCTGACCTATTGACTCAAAATCATTGTGAAATAATTATTCTAGTCTCTTTAGATGAGGCACAGACATTTGTTTTCCATTTTAACATATTTTTTATTTTTTAGCAATTTGTTTTGTCAATATTTATTATTTTTATTCAATAGCTTCCAGGTCTTGTGACCTATTGACCCAGAACCAGTGTGAAATTTGTCTAGTTTCCTGTATAGAT